ATTGAAGCTTGTGTGTCTGGTTTATTTCACTCAAGATTATATTTTCCAGCAGCATCCATTTTCCTACAAATGTCTCAAATTTGTCTTTTTTTTTTTTTTGTACCAGCGATCGAATTCATTTCCTTGTGCTTGTGAGGCAGGGGGCAGAACCCCTGAGCTAAATCTCTGGCTAAATTTGTCATTCTTTACAGCCAACTAGTATTCTATTATATATAGATACCACATTTCTTTATCCAATTGATGGGTATACCAGCTGCTTCCAGGATTTAGCTTTTACAAGTTGTGCTGCTTTAAGCACTGATATGCATGTATTGCTGTAGTGTGATAATTTAAGCTCTTTGGGGAAGATGCCTAGAAGGGGGATAACTGGGTCATATGGAATTTCTTTTTTTTTTTGTACCAGGGATCAAACTCAAAACCTTGTGCTTGCAAGGCAGATGCATTGCCACTGAACTAAATCCCAGCCCTAGAATTTCTAATTTCAGTTCTTTGAGAAATCTCCATACTGATTTCCATAATGGTTGTACTAGTTTACATTCCCACCAACAATGAAGGAGGGCACCGTGGCCCTCCCAACATTTGTTATTGTTTGATTTCTTTTCTCCCCCATTGTTTATTGATATGTTTAAAGCAAACTATACAGTTACATTTATCATTGGGATCTTGTACCTTTACATATCTTGGTTCTTACTTTTTCCCCATACCCCTGCCCTCCCTTTATTGTTTGATTTATTAATGATTGCCATTCTTTCCAGAGTAAGATGGAATCTTAGAGTTGCTTTAATTTGTATTAGAGAATGGCCAGAAATATTGGATATTTTTCATATATTTGTTGACCATTTGTGTTTCTTCTCTGTGAAGTGTCTGCTCATTTCACTTGCCCATTTCTTGACTGGGTCTTTAATTTTAGGTGGTTTAATTTTAAGTTCTGAGTAGCTAGCAAAAAAATTTCTCATTCTGTAGGCTGTATCTTCACTCTGCTGATTGTTTCTTTTGCCATACAGAAGTTTTTTATCTGATTGAATGCCATTTGTTGATTCTTACTGCTATTTCTTGTGCAGTTGAGGTTCTGTTTAGAAAACCCTTTTCTATACCTATGTCTTCAAGTGTTTATCTGTTTTATCTTCCCGTAAGTTTAATGTTTCTATTTTAATGTTTAGACCTTTGATCCATTTTGATTTTAATTTAATATATGGGGAGAGATAAGGGTCCAGTTTCAATATTCTGCAAACAGATAACCATCTTTCCCAGCACCACTTTTTTTTTTTTTTTTTGGTACCGGGGATCAAACTCGGGTCCTTACACTTGCTAGGCAGGCAGCAGAGCCACTGAGCTAAGTCCCCGGCCAGCACCACTTATTGAATAGGCTAATTTTCCTCCTACAAACATATGCTTTTGGCCCCTTTGTAAAACATCAAATAGTTGAATGTGTCTGGGAGGTTTCCATATCCTCAATTCTGTTCCATTGATTCATGTATCTGCTTTTGTCCTTATACCATGCTGTTTTGATTGCTATTGCTTTGTAGTATAGCCAGAAGTCAGGTAATGCTACACCTGCTTTGCTCTTGTTGCCCAAAATTGCTTTTGCTACTCTGGGTCTCTTCTGGCTCTATATGAATTTCAGGATTGTTTATTTTAGATTTGTAAAGTACACTGTTGGTATTGATTGGGACTGCATTGACTCTGTACACCAGTTTTGGAAGAATGGCCATTTTGACAGTATTGGTTCTACTATCCAAGAGCAGGGGACATCTTTCCATTTTCTCATGACCTCTTTAGCTTCCTTCTTCAGAGTACAGTAGCTTTCTTCATTGAGGTCTTTCATTTCCTTGGTTAGGTTATTCCTAAGTATTTCATTTTTCTGAAAGCTACTGTGAATGGTATTGTTTTCATAATTGCCTTCTTATCTGGTTCATTGTGGGTGTACACAAACACCAAAGATTTTTGTGTGTTGATCTTGTATCCTGCTACGTTGCTGAAGTTGTTTACTAATTCTAAGAGTTTTCTGATGGAGTCCTTTGGGTCTTCTGAGTAGAGTATCATGTCACCTGCAATGATAATTTGAGTTCTTTTCTATATGTATCCCTTTTACTTTCTCTTGCCTAATTGCTCTGGCTAATGTTTCAAGTACTATTTGACTAGAAGAGGTGAAAGTGGACATTCTTCTCTTGTTCCTGGTTTTAGGGGGGATGCTTTTAGTTGTTCTCCATTTAGTATGATGCTGGTATTGGTTTAACATAAATGAGGCTGTCTCTTGAAGTGCAATGTGAATGAAGGACAGTAATGAACTATTCTGGTTATAACTCAGTAAATTGATTTTGTAATCCATCAGGGGGTCTGAATCTAGTCTTAAGAAGCTGTGTGGTCAGAGACTCCACAAGGAGGCTCCTCATGTAGGCTTTGAAGTTTCAGCATAGTTCTGTCAGAAGTTGCAGCCTGAAGCCAGGTGTAATAGCATGCGACTGTAGTCCTAGCTCTTGGGGAGGCTGAGAAAGGGGGATCACAAGTTTAAGTCCAGCCTGAGCCCAGTTATTTAGCAAGTTTGAGCCCAGTGATTTAGCAAGATCCTGTCTCAAAATAAATAAGGACTAGAGATATAGCTCAGTGCGAAAGCCCTGTGTTCAATCCCCCGTACTGCAAAAAAAAAAAAAAAAAAAAAAAAAAAGACGCAAAAACTTGCAGCCTGGTCTTGGCTGTGCCATGGGGAATCTGGGAGGGGCTGCCTGCACTTGAAGGCAAGTAAGAGCAACGCCCTTCCTGTAAAGCCAGACTGGCAGTAGTGACAGGCCACAGACGGTGCCTGGTATTCCACCCTCTCTACTGCACACAGTGGATGCTCAGTAAAGGTGTGACTAATCAAGATAATCAGGGAGGGCATGTTGATAAAATACCAGCACTCAAGAGGCTGGGGCAGGAGGATCACAAATTTGAGGCTAATGTGGGTTTTATAGTGAGACCCTATGGAAAAAAATAAAAAAGAATAGAGGAGGGTCCTGGAGTGGGGCTAGGGGTTCTGCTCTGTGTCCTGGATTTCTGCAGGGGATCCCTTGCAGACAAACTGGCCCTGGGCACAAAACCTGGCATTCCAGAAAGGCTCATTGTGCTGCCCTCCTGTACACTGTATGCTCAAGGGTCAGCTCAGGGGTATGTTCAGCCTTAGACTTCTCTCCGCCAGATGTAGCTCAGGGGATTCCCACTGACTCTGAAAACTCACCTAACCCCAGGACCTTCAGCAGTGTTTTCCAGCTGATGGGCATCTTTCTAGGTGTCATTCCGTGGAGGCTGCTTCTCCCCAGGCTGCTGGAGAGCCAGGTTAGAGGAGGGCTGAGGGAGAGGACGACAGGAGGCTGAAGACAGGCAGGCAACAGCTCCAGATACCCTACTTGTTTTTAAAAGAAACCAGGCCTGGGCCTGTTCACTCATGCAGCACATATGCACAGAACTGTGATGCCTTGGGCACGGGATACAGAGATGTCCACAGCCAAGGTCCTTGTCTTCCTGGAGCCTCTGGTTTTACTGGGGGGTAGTCAACGTTAGTGAGGTTATGTCAGATGGTGACAAGTGCTCCATGGGAACAAGATGGAGTCATGGGATAGAAAGTGATTGGTGTAGAATTGGGGCCCCTTTGAGTGGATGATATCAAGAACAGGCCTTTTGAGGAAACAGCAGTTGAGCTGAAATTGATGGGAAGGCGTGAAGACAAGTGGCAGCTGTAGCTCCATGATACAGCACTTGTCTAGCTCATCCCCAGCAATGAAAAGACGTTTATGCCTCCTGTGATGGTTAATCTTGATTTTCAACTTGACTGGCTTGAGTGACACCCATGAAGTTTAAGTAAAGCACATTGCTGGGTAGTCTGGGTGGGTCATGGGGTGGGGGCATGACCTTGGGGACTATAAGTGGGTCCTGGTCCTTTCTGTGGTCTCTGCTTCCTGGCTGTCATAATGTGGGCCGCTTTCCTCTACCACACCCTTCCACCTTGGTGTTTGTGCTTTGGAGCCAGCCAACCAGGGACTGAAATCTCTGAAACTGTGAGCCAAAATAAAGCTCCCCCAACTTCCTCCACCTTCTGTTCAGTTTCCCATGACGTGAGGGCAGCCTGCATGAAGTCTGTCTCTTGCTCTGGGAGCCAGGCTGGCTCCAAGAGTGTTTTGTGATTCTGTGTCTCTCCACCCCATCTCTCCACTCGGCTTTTGTGACTCCTTGGTCACTAACTCTGGGAGTGTGGGGTTTTAACCCTGCATCATCGGCACAGGAGAAACGTCCATTTGATTCCAGCAGCCACCAGACAAGTGTCTGACTGCCTGTGGGGTGAGGGTCAGGGTTTCACCAAACAGCAAAAAAGATCTACCTCCTAGGAGATCTTGGCACCAGGTTAATCAAGAAACCTGTCCAGCTGGGCATGGTGGCACATTCCTGTTATCCCAGCTACTTCATGGGCTGAGGCAGGAAGATCATTACTTCAAAAAAAAGTGTGTGTGTGTTGGGAGGGTGGCCCTGGGGATGTAACTGGTGGTAGAGCGCTCGCCTAGCACCGAGAGCCCTGGGTTTGACCCCCAATACCAAGAAAATGAAAAAGAAACCTGTTTACTTGTGAATGTTCTTTAGTCTGTCCTCACCTCCACTTCCTATGCAGCAGTTTCCTCCCACACCGGGCCTCAGTTTCCTTAGAAGTGAGAAAGGGCGGGGTTGCTCCAAAGTGCCCTTCCGGTCTTTTCGTTTCCTCGCCTACTTGCTCCTGCACAGCGTTGGCGTGGAGGGCGGTCCGGCGGTGGCACCGAGTCAGCAGTGGTGGCAAGGTCGCAGTCCGAGCTCTGCTCTGCGCGCCCGGCTCCCCGAGGCGGCTCCTCCGCCCCT